CTAACCGGTTCTATCTCCACTAATGACCTGTAATATTTTAAAGATTTTTTAAAATTTTTCACATACATACAATTATTGATTATTAATCTTTAATTTAACGTAACCGAGAATAAGGTGAGAAATCTTACCCAGATTAGTATTTTGAGATGCCGCGTTATCTACTACACCTCATAACGGTTCCTGAGTTTTCTGAATTTTCCTGTAGGAATGGAAAATACTCGTCATGCAACTAAAAATACTTCAAAATTCTCAAATCAGTGTCGAAAATCTTTTCTAGCCAATTTTAGGGTTTCGACACGGCGTTGCTGCCGCCATCGACGACAGTTCGCATCGACTTGGCTGATTTTAGCCAATTTTATACGTATCCCTACAAAAAAATATGTTAAGGGGCTTTGGTTAACCAGAAAATTATAAAAAAATTAAATCTACCGGCAGGGGTCTTCGAGTGCAGCAGCTCCGCCGGTTCTCCTTCGCGGCTGAGGTTTCTTCTTCGGCTAGCCTGCACAGAAAAGAACAGTGAACACAATGGTTATAAAATTGCATGAAACGGGAAACAGGAAGGGCTTATCAGACGAATTTTAGGGTTTTAGCTGCGACGGCTCCATCAGGCTTTGCCATCAATTTTGGGCTCACCCGCTGTGCTTTTTTTTTTTTTTCAAATATGGCCACAGGGAGACTTGGAATTGAATTCTGAGTAGGTAGGGGAGAGTTTTACCTTTATTAGGGATCGGCAGTGGCTCCGGTACAGCGAAGGTCGGGGGTCGGTGTAATTCTACGATGGCTAATCCTTCTTCTCCAGTGAGAGCATGTGTGGCTAGGGTTAGGGTTCCTCTGCGACATGATGTTTTTATACTTGCCTCACGTCGATTTGAGCCGTCCATTCGCATTGATATGGAGCGAGGAGAGTCGTTCAATTGTTTCCTATTTAAGCTGATTGCATGAGCGAATCTAGACTGTTCATCGCGATTGATCTCATATATCCAATCGTTCCTAAGGAGGGAATGTATTTGAGCCATTCACGTGTGTGGGATTAAATCTTTGCCATCAGATTATTGGGCCCACAGATCGCTCGAGTTTCCTCCTACATGGCGCCAGTGTTAGCGTGTTTTGCCACGCAACATGCTCTGGTTCACCGTAGCTACTGACCGGGCCGTCCCACGTGGTCAAATTTCTCTTTTTTTTTTTGCATTTTGACCTCTGTTTTTAATTTTTCTTTTAAAAAAACTTCCGAACTCAAATTTTCAACCATCTTCCCCAAAATTGCATTCAATTACATCTCTAACTTATTTTTCTCAAATAACTTAATAAAATAAAATTAAAATAATGTTTTTAATTATTTTTATAAATACAAAAATTGATCCCGGGCCAAATTCTGGGCCCGGGTATTACATAAATGAACTAGAATCAAACACCTTTGCGTAAGATAATATCAGGGACCAAGTGATGGGTCAAGATAGCCCAGATATGGAGGTTAGAGACCTCACACAGATAGAAGAGGTATTTAACAATCAAGAAATAATTTATGGGGAAGTAGAAAAAAGAGAAAACCATATGAATGACGATGAGATTCCAAGGAGAAAATCAATGAGGACAAAGAGGCCACCAGAATACTTAAGGGATTATATATGTGATCATATTCAAGGGAACAATGATTGCATAGAGCTGTCTGAACCACAAGGCCGCAATGGTGGTGTCGTTCCTCTATCAAGCACAGTTGCATATAGTAGACTTATGGGGGGACATAAGAAGTACATACTTGCTGTAGCATCCCATAATGAACCAAGTTCATATGAGGAGGCCCAGCAAGGGACCCAAATTGGAGAAATGCTATGGAAACGAACTCCAAGCTCTTGAAGAAAACAAGACTTAAAAAGTAGTTGATTTATCGATAGGGAAGAGAGCAATAAGATGTAAGTGGGTCTACAAAGTGAAATTCAAAGCAAATGGAACCATTGAAAGACACAAAGCTAGACTTGTTGCTAAGGGCTTCACTTAAAGAGAAGGTCTAGACTATCACGAAACATTCTCACTTGTGGCCATAATCATCTCCGTAAGAGTATTGTTGACTCTAGCTGCAATCAGAGGATGGTATATTCAACAATTAGATGTCAACAATGCTTTTTTATATGGAGATTTAAATGAGGAAGTGTATATGGAGCTTCCTTTTGGAATCCCTAAAAGGAAAAAAGGAAAAGCATATAGACTTTAAGAGAGCTTGTATGGGCTTAAACAAGTATCCAGATAGTGGTATACAAAATTTTCTGAGTTTATTACTCAACAAGGATTCAAGAAATCCAATACCGACTATAGTTTGTTCGTGAAGACCAATGGCGAAATCTTTAGCATACTACTTGTATATGTTGATGACATTATTGTGGATGGTGATGACAAATCTGTTATTAAAGAACTAAAGATAACATTGGATAACAAATTTAAAATTAAGGATTTAGGAAATTTAAAATATTTCTTTAGCATTGAAGTTGCTAGGTCAAAGAAAGGGGTTCATATATGCCAAAAGAAATATGCTCTAGACCTTTTGAAGAATGGAGGGGTTTTAGGAAGAAAGACCTCATCACTCCTATATTAAACTTTTGAGGGATGAAGGAGAGCCAATACTAGAACCAACGAAGTACAGGATGTTGATTAGAAGGTTGATGTACCTCATATTAACAAGACCTGATCTGGCTTACTTTGTTCAGGTTCTAAGCTAGTTCATGGAGAGCCCTGGAGACTGTCACTTAAGGGTTGCATACAAAGTTCTAGGGTATATTAAGGGTACACCAGGCTAAGATTTATTTTACTAAAATACATCTAAGCTAAAACTAAATGGTTATACACACAGTGGCTAGGCAGGATGCCCAGACACAAGAAAGTTTGTTATAAGATATTGTGTTCTTCTTAGCAGTTCATTGATATCTTGAAAATTTAAGAAATAACAAACAGTTTCTAGATCTTCAGTAGAAGAAGATTATAGAGCCATGGTCAGCGTGTGTTGTGAGCTAAATTGGATAAAATACTTGTTTGATGACCTTAAGGTGTATAATTTAGGGGCAACAAACTTATATTATGATAACAGGGCAGCCATACACATAGTTGCTAATCCTATATTCCATGAAAGAACCAAGTACATTGAGATAGATTGCTATTTAGTCAGGGATAAGGTACAGGAAGGGAGTATAGTTACGAGGCATGTGAACAGCAAGCAACAACTAGCAGATATTTTTTTTTAAAGCTCTATCTAGTTGGCTCCTTAAGGAGCATATGATCAAGATGGGAGAAAAAAACATTTACTCTCCATCTTGAGGGAGGATGTTATCGGGCTTGTACAAAACAGGTTGATCTAGCCCAATGACAAAGATAAAAGCGCACTGGTTCACTAATGTGTGATCTAGTGTGTTCGCGCTCATGTGAGCTAGGGGACAGAACGAGTATTTAACCCCGTTTTCTTCCTTGAGAAACCTTAATTTTCTCCTCTCCTTTCTGCTACCATCGACAGACACCAACGCTTTTAGCTTATTTTGTTTTCTTGCATTTTTTTTTTATTTCTGGTTGTTTACAGGTTATCACACACACACATCTTACAACCACTCTCGTAAAGAACTTCTCTCTCTGTTCACTTGCCTCCACACCTTCCGCCTTTACCGAACTTCTCTCTCCATTTGCTCGCCTCCTCGCCTTTTGCCTTCGCCGAGTTTGTCTCTCCATTCACTCGCTTCTGCGGCTTCTGTCCTCATCGAGGATCACCTGTACAATTTGGTATTTTCCTTCAACTTTATTTGTTGTTTTTTATACAAAACGTTGATTTCTGGATAGCGTGGATGGTGAACTTCATTTTCTTTCAAGCTTTGTCTGCTAGATTTTGAGATAAACTTCCTCTAAACTCTATTGTTAGTTTGTAAGGGGCTAGTCAAAAAGTCTAGAAAAATTATAATTAATTTCCAATTTAATCTCCGGCATGCCTTCTTGGGTTCTCTTGTTCTAGTAGAAACGTGCCTATTGTAGCACTTTAATTCACCAACATAACTATTGTTCGTAGTAGCTAGGACTACTATGTTAAGCTACGTTATGGTTTTGGATGCTTTCTTAAGTTGATTTGAGTTTTTTTATTATTCTGACAGAGACAAATATTTTCTATTATATTAAATTCATATTTTTGTAAGTTACATAAAACATATATGATTATGATAATAAAATATTATAAATAATTTTCAGAGTTTTAGTTTTCTATATGCTTTTTAGGGATGACAACAGGTTTGTTTTATGGTGAATTTCTGAACACTTGAACTCCGCACACAATCGTTATTTTTTAATAATGAAATTTTGTTACTTCCATGTAATTTTTATTTATATTATTTTTATACGATTATACAAAATTATATTTTATACAAAGCACGAGGTACGAATCTTGTCCTAACCTAATAATTTATCTTTTCAATTTTTATTTTCGCTACCATGTAATAAAAAATTTTATTATTATTTTTATTATTCTTAAACAAAATATATATTTTAAATATATAGTTAAAAAGCAACAGTAATTATTAAATATCTAATCACAATACCAGATTAGAATATGGTAATATATATATATATATATATATATATATATATAACAGGCACAGAATCGTACATATAGTTTTTCCTTGAGATGACACCTTTACATATGATATGTATATATATATATATATATAAATAATTAAAAACATGAGAGGGGACACCTTATAATTGAGCACCAATCAGATGGAAATTGATAGTAGTATTAATTTTTTTTAATCTGTTCCCTAGATAGTTCAGAATTCCAAATTACAGCTTTTTATTATATATATATATATATGTATATATGTGAAAGAGAATATATCCAGCTTTTTAACAATTGTTGAGATGAACATGGCCGATCCCATCACTCTTTCTTCTTATTCCAATTCGTGGAATATAATTAACTACAATATATATATATATATATATATATATAAAAGAAAAGATACATGCATACACATATATGGTCTCTCATATATTAAAATTAATTAATAGATTAAATATTAATTGTCAATAAATTTAGGGCTCTACCATCCAAAACCACCATTTTGATGAAGGTGAGCAGCCATGCTTACTGTACTACCATTCCCATCATCTCCGTCTTGGCGAATTATCCTACTCCCCGTGAAACCTCCATATCCGATCACCGTTCCGGCGTGATCTGAATAAACTCCGGCGTGATTAGAACTCGGACTATTACCGTTCTTGTCTCCTTCAGTGTCTCTGTATTTGTTGAGATAAATCTTCAAAGGAGCAACGTAGTTGTCGAATCCGAGAGTGGTCATGGCCCAGAGAAGATCGTCACCGTTGATGGTCTTTCTCTTCTCCCGTTGGCACTTGTCGGAGGCTTCGCCGGTGATGAAGCTGATGAACTCCGACACGCATTCTTGAACGGTTTCTTTTGCTTCTTTGGAGATTTTAGCGTTGGCAGGGAGGGATTTTTTCATGATGCGACTGACGTTGGCGATTGGAAGAAATCTGTCTTGGTCTTTTGAGGAGTTGTCGGAGACCGGACTGCTCATCGGACTGCAAGTTTCTTTTCTTTTTCCGGCCATGGAAGGTGAAGCTTTTTGTTTTTTGTTAAAGGGGAAAGGAAATGTGAATGTGGGAATCTGAGGGGAGGGGAAGGGTGAGGTTATAAGGGAAGAGGGTTTAAGGGGGAAATGATGTGGGAAAGAGTGGAGAAGCGGTTTGATGGGGACATCAAATTATTTAAAAAGGGGAAATTTGATTTTATTATAAGAAATTTATTTTTATATTGTTATTCAGTTAATGATTTGATTTACATCTCTAAATAATTCTTTCGCAAGTGCTAGTATTTTGTGAATATATATATATATATATATATATATGTATACTCTTTTACCATTCAATATTTAGTGTCCACCACCACCACCACTAATTCTTTTGGAAAGACATCTCTCTCTCTCTCTCTCCACACACAACATCTCCTATTAGTTAGTAATAAGATGCTTAATATTTTTATTAGAAAATTACCTTATGAAACACATTACTCATTTAAACGTAGAATTTTATTTTTTTTTTCTAAAGAAAGACTCTATTTAACTTCCTTACAACTGATTTTTATTTTATTTCAATTAACAACACATTTCTTTCTTTTAAATATAAAAATAATCTATAACTTTTTTACAATCAAATTCAAGATAAATCACCATTTTCGTTTTTTCGATGAATGCAGTTTAATATTCACTTGATATTGGGTCTACATTCTTTACCATGGTTCTGCTGTATTTAGTATAATTTTTCTTTTTTCATAATCATTTGAAATTTTATGTTACTTTAAAAAAAAAAAAAATTGTGCCCTTTGTATGTATTAATTGTGTAAATATCATTAAACCCAATAATATATAAATTTAATCAAATGTAGGAAATAAATAAATGCAAATGAAAAACATAAGAGTACAAGATTTTACATAAAAAATCCTCCAATATAGATGAAATACATCATGCACCAAACTCTAAATCAAATATAGTATCGAAAAAATAATAAGAATAAATAATCTCAAGTTAATCACAAATTTTGATTATACAATCAAGAAAAATTTAAATCATCTTCTTAAACAATACTATACAGATTTCCTTGTTTACAAATAATAGTAGAAAAATAATTATTCAATTATTCTTGAATAACAAACACCACTAATTCTTGCAACGTTAGAAGATCTAATCAAAAATCAAAGAAACTTCACTTTTCTAATTGTATTTACGACCATCCCAAAAGAAAGAACTTTCTCTCTTATTTTTTCCCTAAGTGCAATCCCCACTCCTCTTTTTTTTTTTTTTTTTTTTGTTTTTGATTGTATGTTCTCATCAGCTACAAGCCTATCTTTTCATAACATTCTTATTTCTCTGTTTTATTTGGTTTTAGAAACCTAATCCTAAACACACACACAAAAACACTATATACAAACCTATATATATATATATATATATATATATTTAGTGCTTTAGTGGGCTAGATCCCACAACAATTTTCCCTCTAGCTTGCAGGATGACTGTCTACACCTAACCAATCACTTGGAGTTTAAGCTTGCCACCTTATGATTGAATTAATATTTGTCTCATATCATTGCTTTCATTAGTATTTTAGCTAATTTTTATCAGTATAAATCTACTTAGATAAATCCTCATGATTATTTATATCTTCATAAACTAATAATATCTCACATCAATATATTTATTGTGGTAATAATATGTAGTATTCTTGTTTAAGTCTAGAGTACCTTAACTAAACTAACTAAATATTCATTTTGCTTCAAACCCCATTCTTGAAGGAACCTATTCAACCAGTTTAGTTCATTACCAGCTTTAATTGTTTTAAATATACTCTACATCAGCTGTAAACTATGTAAGATTTTTTTATAAACTAAACTGTCATGATATAGTTCTTCTTATAAAAGTATATATACAGCTTAAAGTAGGCTTCTTTCCATCAAGATCACATGTCATATTATCATTTTTATATCCTTCCAAGATTGCTTTTGAGTTGCTAAAGCATAAACACATATCAAATTTATATGTTAAAATTTCTAAAAATTTATTTAACTGTTTCTCAATGTTCTTTTCTAAGATTAGAAAGAAAACTATTAACTACTCCAACTAAATGTTCAAGACTATGTATGATGTAAACCATTGCATACATCAAATTTTCAACTACTAAGGGTGCGAAACAATTGACATTTTCTTCTTTGTCTTTTTGATTAGATGAACAAATTTCTTTATTAAATCTCAAGTGATTAGTCAAAGATGTACTAACAGGTTTAATACTTTTTGTATGGGACCTGTCTAAAACGCATTTAATTTATTTCCTTATAACAACCACAATTTTTGGCTTTACTATCATGATTAACCTATATACCCAAATTTCGTTGTGTTTGGTCTAGATTTTTCATAGTAAAAGAACTAAATAAATTATTTTTTAAAATAGCAATTTTTTTGTCACCATGGACTACCATCAGCGTAGAGTAAAAGTATAACAAAATTACTATTAGGTAATAATTCGAAATAGACACAATAATCTGCAGCTGATATGGTACATCCATGTTTTAAACCTATAAACCATGTGTTTCTTTTCATTTATTCACTATTTTGTTCAACTATATAGATCTCTTCCTTCAAATCATCATGAGAAAACGTAATTTTTGTATTTAATTACTCAATATCAATATCGGGGCTAGCTTTTAGTCAAAGAATTACTTTGATAAAATTCATCTTTAAAATTAGAGAGAAGATTTCATCAAAGTCAATTTCCTTCTTTCACCATTAAACGAATTTTGTATTTGACTATCTTGTCACCATCTATCTTCTGCTAGAACACATATTTATTTTTCAAGAGTTTTTTATCATTTGAAAATTCTACCAATTAATAGGTATAATTCTTTTTGAAGGAGTTCATCTCTTCGTATATGATTTTTTCTTTTCTATAAGAGTAAAATTCTTAAAAGCTAAATAATCTAATAGATGGTACTAACTTTTTAAAAAATCTTTTAAACTGAGGCCCTCCAAACCTGGAGGGGGTTGCTCCCTAGCTCACACCATATTCATGTGCATCATCTCTATATCACATATTACTGACTCAGTTTCAATATCATATTATAACTCTGACTTTTTACCTGAGGCATGCTTTGTCGACGATAATAAATCAATTTTAATATTACTATTTGACTTTTTAACTGTTTTTAATTTAAATATAGTTTTTATTTTTAAAATACTAATATATCAAATTTTTTTTTTAAAAAATTTATTGGATCACATAATTTATACTTTAATTTTGTATTTTTATAATTTTTATTTTCCATATAAAGAATGTCTTATTATCTTAAACTTTTATTTGAAAAAATTTTATCTGATAATAATAAAATATTTATACAAAAATACCAGTTGATGTGTAAAACGAATATATATATTAGATATTGGAAAAGAGAAGTGAAGCCAAGTGATTGACAAGAAAATCATGTAGCAAAAGCAGATTGCACGCCCTCTTATTATTTTCTTCTTCAAATTCTGCATGTTCCATATACAAATATATGATGTGATGGGGTGATCATTAACCATAGAGATATAAGATCTCTATTGTACAATGCATATATAGGTACATTATATAGATATATATATATATATATATATATGAATATGAGTTATTAGTCCTAATTTTACTAGTTTTTTTTTCTGAGGGGCATTCGTTAATTGTGGTAGCTACTATATTATATATACCTATGAAGAATCTTTTTCTAGGACCATATATACCCCTATAAGGAACATATGTAGACTAGATCATATTGTATAAGGGAGAGTTCTGGTGCATGGAATAAAGCATCAATGGAAGAAAAATTGGACATCCGTGAAAGCTGGCAGCAGGTGCCGTCTTCTCTTCCCCTACACACATATATATATATATTATAAGGACATGTATATATATATATATATATAATTATTCTGATGTAAAAAGTTCTGTCTGATGCATGATATGTTTATTTGATCAGATTCTCTCATTCATCACTGTCGCTATTTTGAGAGCATCGATTTCTTTTTTAATTTTAATTGCACAAAAGTATTGATTTATAGCAAGATTAATTAATTATATATACATATAATAATCTATAAAGATAGATATAAAACATTATATTAATTATAAATAATGATTTTCCAATGAATGTTTAATTCTTGTTAATTAACGCGACTATATATACTTTAGACTACCCCCCCCTTCACCCACTCAAAATTTCAAAGCCCTAGCATATATAAAATTAAAAAATATACTTATATATAGCTGTGTATATATTAAAAAATATATACATTTCTAATTATGATTATAAATTTCAAACAAAAGGAAAAAGAAAAACAGGCAAACAGACTTTCAAGAGAATTGCGACAAATGGCTTATCCTCAGCAACCTTTACTTATTCTACAACATTATTTACGTAAATAATAAAAAAACAAATTTTAATTAATTAAAATAAAATATTACCTCTGATAACTTGCTGCCTCCTACCTCAATAAATTAAAACTTAACTCAAGTCTCCAGTTGTGTATAGTTTTTCATTGTCCAAATAATTAATTAATGAATATTCATTATAAACATTTAAGAGATTCAACATTATTATATTATATATGGACACAGGGTCTGACCTATATACTTTATATAGGTGAAGATTTAAGTCAATTCCCAATTCATAATTTGAATTTTGAATTTACAGAAAAAAGAAAAACATATATATTATATATATATGTATAGAAGTGATATGGGCTTGTACGGCATAATCAACTAATTAAATATTGAAAAAGCTAAAATCTGCGGCATGTTTATAAATGAAAGGATCCAAATGCAAGATTATAGTAGCCAACTGTTGTGAGCGCAGCTTAACTATTCTGATTTATGTCATATATCTATGTTTATTAATAGAAGTAACTACTAGGGTTAGATTAATATACAAAGAGACACATACACACGTACAGAGACATGATATAAATACATATATAAATATATATATATATATATATATATATATATATGAGCGAGTAGTTGAGCCAAATACTTTAATATAGATCATGTATGTATCATTTGTACAAGAAACTTGTTATA